GCGGCGCGCGCGCGGGAGGACGCCGGGGGAGGGGGCGGGGCCGCGCCGCCCGCGCCGCGCTGGGCTCTCTCGGCCAATGAGCGGCGTCCACATGCCGCGGCGGCGGCGAGAGGGGAGGCAGCGGCGGATAAATGCTATTAGAGCAGCCGCCGCGGAGCCGTCCCCGACGCCACCTCCCGTCTCCTCCGCCGCAGTTTCCTCCGCCGCTGTCGGGGGTGCAGAGCTGAAGGGCTCGGCCGGGCGCGCCGCGCGGCTCCCCTCCGCTCGCCCGCCTCGCTGTCCTCCGCGCCGAGGGCTCGGCCGGGCGCGCCGGCTCTCCTCAGCGCAGCGCCGCGGCCTGTGCTGCCCGCGCCTGGCTGGCCGCTGAGGCGGCGCTCGGGCGCGGCGCGGCGGGAGGCTTGCAGCCCCTCGGGCGGGCTCGGCGAGGCCGGGCCGCGGGCGGCGGTTTCTGGGGGAGGGGGCTCGGGTGATTCAGCGCCCGGTCAGGCGGAAGCGGCCGCCGCCGCGGAGGAGGAGGAGGAGGAGGAGGCAGCTGTCCGCGCCCGGGCGCCCGCGGTGGCACGAGCCCGCGGCCCGAGTGCGAGGCGGAGGCGAGGAGGCCGCGGGGACGCGAGGCGAGGCCGGCCGGGGCCCCCGCAGCCATGGAGAACGCTCACACAAAGACGGTGGAGGAGGTGCTGGGCCACTTCGGCGTCAACGAGAGCACGGGGCTGAGCCTGGAGCAGGTCAAGAAGCTCAAGGAGAGATGGGGTTCCAACGGTAGGTGCGGGGCGCCGGGGCTGCAGCGGCGCGGCGCGGGCCCGAGCGCCAGGGAAGATGGCTGACCCGGCTCCACCTCGTGGGGCTCGGCTCTGCTCGGCTCGGTGCCCGACGGCTGCGAGCGGCCGAGCGGCCGGCGCGTGGGTCCGGCCCGGCCCGGCCCTCCAGGGGTCTCGAGCCGGTGACCTTTGCGGCGCTCGGCGAGCCGGGGGGAGGGGAGGGCCTCCGCCGAGGCCCCCGCGGATCTATGAGGCGTCTAGGTACGATGGAGAAACCCTCCGACCGTTTCTCGTGCTCCCCAAAGTTACACATCTGGCAGAAGTGATGACCCAGCCGAAACGACTGCGTGGTCCTGGAGGCCCCAGCCCCACAGGGCTTACAGGGCAGTTCCTTGAGCTTTGATGACTGGGACTGCATGGTTTCCTCGGGCTATCAAAGTGGAGAGACAAAGGTTGATCAGTTCTGTGCCTACATCTGTCTTTCAAGACAACCAGGGTGAATTTAGCAGTTCTTACGAAAGCGCTAATGAAGTGTCTTTATTTTTCTTTCTCCTTTCCTCCTGACACGTTGCCTGGCGAATTTCGCTGTTGTAGAATTACCGGCAGAAGAAGGTAAATAATCGTAGCGTTATTTTGGAGAGATTATGTGTGTGCGTACTTGGACTGATTGATGTGGACAGTTGAAACATACCTTTTTTTCTAACAGGAAAAACCTTGCTGGAGCTTGTGATTGAGCAGTTTGAAGACTTACTAGTTAGAATTTTATTGCTGGCAGCGTGCATATCTTTTGTAAGTATTAAAATATTTTATCTGCCCATAAAAGCTGAAAACATTTCATTGGTACACTGGAAAACAAATAATAGCCATTGAGTTTCCGTGTTTTCAAAAAACCAAAAATAACCCCAGTATTAAGAGACAAAAAATACTAGAAGCTGTTTTGTTTAGAAAATAAACGCCTGGCTTTAACAGTACAGTGAGACTGCAGGGTCTCTGAAATTCTTGTGCCTTTATCAGTTTTTCACATCAGAAAGTTTCTCATTGCGAGACCTTTTATGTTGGGTTCTTCCATTTGTTATCATGTTGTAAGATCATACTAAGATGATGTTGGGCACTTTGTAAATAGAACGTACAAAAGGAATATTCCAGTTGCTTTGCCTTCCTGGCAGTGGCAAGGTGACAGTCCTGACAGTGACAAGAATGATGACGGCAGTGATGGCACCACTGTTGACCAAATTTGGTCACTGACCTTTAGGATGGCATCTAACCTGGACCCCTGTCTTGAGTGATTCCTAGATTGAGAGAACACAGTTCAGTACTCTTGGTTCTCAATAGTAAAGAGGGAATGAAGGTAGAGGTTTTTTTTTTTTTTCCTTCCTCTTGTTCTGTGTGTGCTTGAGCCTGTGTGGTTGCTAAGAAACTAGTGAAATGCAAAGACCTGCCTAAGAAAAACTAATAGAGATGGCAAGGGTATTTCTAAGTTATTAACATTTTACTCTTTGGTTTTTTTTTTTTTTTTTCTGGGCAGTGGACTTTACAGTTTCTTCAAAATGGTGATAGTGGTATATAGATTTTCTTAACACACTAATTTTTGTTTTTAGAACATTGTATCCTTACACTGTGGTACAGTGAAAATCATACAATAATTGTTTCAGGTTTTACAAATTGGTGGTTGAATGGCTTCAATTTTAAAGTCACACGTAAGTCTCCCCTGTGGGCCTGTGACCACGCTCTATGAAAATACTAGCATAGAGGATTGTTTAGAACTTACTGAGCTCAGGTGAAGGGAAGATTGATTTTTTTGCTATTTTTAAATTAAGTATTGGTGGCAAAGGTGATCTTTAGGAGCATGAATTTTGCCCAGAAACTTTACTAATTTAGTTATCAAGAATCTTTTTGGGTTCTTTTGAGACAGGGTTTCTCTGTCTAACAGCCCTGGCTGTCATAGATTCTTTGTAGACCAGTCTGGCCTCTGACTCACCGAGATCCACTTGCTTCTGCCTCACAAGTGCTGGGGACTAAAGGCATGTGCTGCCATGCACAGCTAGTTCTATTGAACTTACCTGTGGTTTTCATTAAATAAAATTTAGACTCCCCGCTAGCAAACCATTCAGCATACTACTGAGTCATTCACTCTTTACCTCTTACATGTATCTTGTGATTAACTTTTAAAAGTTTTATCTAGTAAATGGCTGCTTCATTGGTAAATGAGCTAAATGGAGTTGTTTGATTATGGTTTGAGCATGTTGCCATGAGATAAATTATATATTTGGAGATTGTTAAGGGTTTGTATTTATGTAGGCACGTAATTCTGAAAGGCTCTGCTTTGGTAGTTAAATGTTGGTATTCAATCACTAAAACCACCAGGGACTTAGAAATTAACTAGCTGATATTTACAAGCCATAGGCAAAATGTATTCTTTTCAATGATTTATTTTTATAGTGTGTACACTGGTGTTTGCACATGTCTGTGTGAGAGTATCAGTTCCCCTGGAATAGTAGTTACAGACAGTTGAAAGCTCCTGTGTGGGTGCTGGGGATTGAACCTGGGTCCACTGGAAAAGCAGCCAGTGATCTTAACTGCAGAGCGAGCCCTTTCTCCAGCCAGTCGGCAGAATGCATTCTTACTGGGTCCTTTTGTATTATAATTTGAAGCAATCTTGGAAATAGTGCCACTTGTCAGTGAACAGATCACTAGCTATCGGATCTCAGAGGGTTTGAAATTATGAGAGGTCAGTTTGACTTTTAGCAAATAGAATTAGTGATTGCAGATGTGTTTTACATTGGGTAATTAGAAACTTATTCTTTCTAATCATTTTCAAATTTTAAGTAAATAACTTCTTTGTAATAGAGGACATTGTAGTACTTTGTAGTTAATGTGAGTTCATTTTCAATAACTACTTGAAATTCTTGTTCAGGAAATGAACTGTTACATTTTTTACGTTACTGGTCGTTAAATGACTAAAGAATTAAGCGTTTAGGAACTGCTTTTTATAGAATTCACTTAATTTGCTTTTGTTTATTTGGTCTAGATTGTGGATAGATTAAGATACTCTTCAGAGGCCACTTCAGACCTATACTCACTCTAGAACATGTGTTACTGACCTTTAGTGTCTGTGCTTAAGTCTATTAAAGCCCTTAAAAATAAACTCCAAGATTGCTTTATTTCAAAAGAAAAGATTCAGTAAGCTGAGGCATCAGGACAGCCTGGCTGGAGTAAGGCCCTATCTTAAAAGCTATAAAAATGGAAGAAAAAAAAAATTTGTGCTGTAGAAGATGGGTTGTTGATGCTCTTCCTGGAGGGTCGATAGTTCTCTGTAGTACTTGGTCTGTTCTTTTCTTATTTGTTTGTATTTCTGTTACTGCTTATGTATGTATGTAGGTAGGTATATGTGCGCTTGTTCAGGTATGTGGGTGTCTTGTGTGTGAATGTGTACAGAGTGCCTTGCTTTATGACTCTGCTCCTTAAGTACTGAGGCGAGGTTTCTGGATTAAACCCAGAGCTCCCTGATTCAGCTAGTTTAGCTAGCCAGCTTGCCGCTGCCTCCTGAATGCTGCAATTACAGGTAGGCTGCCACTGCTTTCTGGCCTTTGTGAATACCTGCCGTCTGAACACAGGTCCTTAAACTTAGGTGGTAAACACTGCCTACTCAGCTATCTTTTAGGCCCTCGGTTTGTTTGTTTGTTTGACAGGGTGTCTCTGTGTAGCCTTGGCCGTCCTTGAACTCACTCTGTAGACCAGACTGCCTCTGCTTCCTGAGTGCCGGGATTAAAGGCCTGCACCACCACCGCCTGGTGTCAGGGCTTAGTATGTCTTGACTGGTCTCGAGCTCACTCCGTACAGCCTAATCTTAAGAGATCTTCTTGCTTTGCCTCTTACAGGCAGGATTACAGGCTTGTGCCTCCAACTTCAGCTTATTATTTATTTTCATAGCTTCCAGAGTACTAACTTGTGGTAGTCAGTATATTCTTACTGCCATAACAGGAAAAACACGGTAGAATGCTCAAGTTATTTTCTAGAAGTGAATAAGAAGTTCTCATAAATAATCAGATTCTCCTCAGGTTAGAAAGATATTAATGATTTATTTTATTTCAACCATCAGAATAGTAAACTGTTAACTACAGTTAATATATTGCTCTGGCAAAAAAAAAAAGAAAGAAAGAAAGAAAAGGAAACTGTATTAATGTTTTACACCTGTGGCCCATGGAGACAGTTTAATTTCTAGTATTCACCAAAACTGTTCCTTTTTAAAAGGTCAATTCAAATATGGTGGTGCATGCCTGTAATTTTAGTATTTGGTAGCTAAATAGGTGGGTTAGGAGTTCAAGACCATCCTAGGGTATATAGTGAGTTTGAGGTTAGCCTGAGGTACCTAAGACTGTTTGAGCAAAGTGCACGTGGGTATTTAAACTTTTTTTTTTTTTTATTTGGTTGGTTGGTTGGTTTTTGTTTGGTTTTGAACTCAGAGATCTGCCTACTTCTGCCTCTCAGAGTGCTGGTGGGCATGCACCATTGTGCCCAACTTAGAATTTCTTTAATTTAATGTCATTGACTATTTTTGTTTGATTTGAATTTCCGTTCTTTTAGGTTACTAACTTTAAATATACTGCATCATATACTTGCCTAACTGGAATACCTGCCCATTCCTCTTCTCCCATAATGGAATACCTGCCACAGACAGTAGGATAATAGGGAACATGGGGTCTGATACCTTGAATTGTGCTGTTGAGAAAGTAAAGCAGAGCGGCTGTGATAAGGGAGTTGGCTATAGGGAAGAGGACTGCAGGCTTTTAATAGGTGGTTGTGTAACCTCACAAGGTAACCTTTGAGTAAAGATCTGATGAAGAGGTGAGTGTCAGTAGGGCCGTGTTGGATTAGCTTATCTGTCTAGGCCATAGTGACCAATGATGAGAAATGCATAGGTTTCTTTTTTTTTGCCCCATTTCCTATTTTATAATTAATATTGATTCTAAAATACTTTTTTGTTGTATTTTTGAGACAAGGTCTCTCTTTTGTTTTTGTTTTTAATTTATTTATTATGTATACAGTGTTCTGCCTGCATGTACGCTTGCACACCAGAAGAGAGCACCAGATCTCATTATAGATGGTTGTGAGTTACCATGTGGTTGCTGGTAATTGAACTCAGGACCTTTGGAAGAACAGCCAGGGCTCTGTAACCTCTGAGCTATCTCTCCAGCCCAGGTCTCTCTTTGTAGTCCTGGTGACCAGGACTATGTAAACCATGGTCTTGAACTCACTGAGATTCTCTTGCCATCATCTGGACCCTGTGCTTCTTCATTGTCTCAAATATAGGAATGAATTTGTTTCTAACATTTTGAGACATTGATAAAACATGGGATCTGTTTTTGCTTTGCTTGTTTAAATGTTTTTTAGGAAGTATTTAATAATTCAGTAATAAGTATTTAATAATTTAGGAAGCATTTTATGGTGGTTTAAATTTTTTTATTTTCTTAAAATATAATTTTAAAAGATGATTTGAAGAGGAAACATTAATATTTTTCCTCACTTTCCCTAGTTAGGGATAGAATCCAGGGCCTTGAGCTCTTGGTCCTCTTGCCCAGCCTCTTGTCTGCTGGGATTACAGGTGTGTATTGCCATGCTTACCTTTGGTATATATATTTTTTTGAAGTGTTTTACAGAAGAGAATGGATTCTAGTTCATGTTTGGGGGGTTGTTTTTGACTGAAGGAATTTTTATGTGCCATCTAAGATACTTGGCATCTCATTTATTGGTAATCTTTTATGCTTTCTTTTGGTTTCTCTGCATAACAG